CTTCTGGTTTTTCCTGACAAGTGGAGGCATCTCTAGGTCTGGCCAGACACCTGGTGTAATGTCCTTGAGTCTCACGGTCTGACTTCTTAATCTTTGAAGTCTGCATTCAAAACCTCTTCCCTCCCCCCAAGTTCATTAGCAAGCTGAGAAGCAATATTTGTCACACCAGCAAAACCGTGCTTTGAAATTTGACATGAATCACTGCAGTTGTTAAGTTAGTAATCCAGTTGTTAAGTGAATCTGGCTTCTCCATTGACTTTGCTTGTGAGAAGGTCGCAAGAGGTGATCACACGACCTTGGAACACAACAACACTCATAAATATGAACCAGTTGCCAAGCATCTGAATTTTGATCACGTGACTACAGGGATGATGCAAAGGTTGTAATGTAAAAAATGCTATTAAATCACATTTTTCAGTGCCGTTGTAACTTTGAACAGTCACTAAATGAACTGTTGTAAGTTGAGGACTACCTGTACTACATAAATGTTTGTTATGGCTATTGTTTAGTGAAAGTGCTTTCATGGGCTTTCTAATAAGAGTGTTGGATTCTTAGTATATATATCAGAAGGAGAGAGAGACAGAATAATCTTACTCAATTTGTATTCCAACTTTCATACAGGTATTCCTACATTAATGCATTTGCCTTCATGCATAAATATAGATTTCAAGGTACCAGAAAACCAAGTGATGCAAAAATTGACTCACAACATCAACTTTTTCAAGGGCCTAAAATTGGCCAACTAAATGAGTCAGGTCCTGATTTCCTTCCACTTGCTATCTTTCAGCTCGATCTACTAAGTCAGTGCTATTAAGCTGGGTGTCATTCAACAGGAGAAAAAGTGACAGCTCCCACTGATGGCTGCAGATCCTTCGTGACACAACCGGCACAGCTGGTGACCTGCTACCAAGAGAAGCCTCCTTCAACCCCATTCCTAGCCTTGCTCCGTGTTAGGTCTCATTTTGGATTATGTCGGGCGGCTTTACTTTGCAACTGTAACAAAATCAGGGCTGGCATTTTCTGTTAGAATGATTGGGGAGGAAGGTGCATCCTTGAGGTGAATCCAGGAAAATTTATTTGACAAGGAAGCAAAACCAATTACAACTCCCTGACAAACAACCTTGGATGATGTTAGCTCTCTCTGCATTCACATTGTTCATGCTTAAGGAGACATCATGTTGGAATTGTTCTGCACAGCACAACTCTGGCTTTGCCCCCAAATGTACACACAAAAGAAAAAGCTGCTTGTGGCTGTAGCCTGCCAATAAGCATCACACCTGCATTTTCAAACACCTCTCAGGGTCTACATTTTGGATGTATAAAAATCTGAAGTGTACACCTCTCTAAACAATATGTCTACCGGGGAACCTCACATTTCCATTGAAGTCAGCTTTGCATTATTGCCTTCTGTCAAGAGGGCAGCCGCCCTAAACATTTATCATAGTGTATATCAATTTTTCCCAGTCTGCTGCCTTCCAGTCACATTTGTCTTCAGCTCCCAAGTGTCCAGCACATCTGAACAGCACCAAATTGGGGAAATCCAATAATAGTTCATTTCAAAGAAAGTTTACAAAGACATCTTACATGAAAGTTCTTTCTCTCTGTGCTACAGACACAAGAACCCATCATAATTTTTCTACAAGAAAGAATTATTTGTATGTACAATATATGTGTATGGAGAGAGAAAGGGGTTTTTTTTTCCCCAGTTCAATGTACTGCCCTGGATCTATCTGCTTGATATATTTCTACACCATCTCATTGTAAATGCAATGTAATATAGTGATATTTAATGATATTTTAATTGTATTCTGGTATTATTACTGGTACATCCCCTCCAAGTAAGCATTTTGAAGATTTATATGCTGTTTTTCCAATAAAAACTCCTAGAGCAGCAGATAATGAAGTAAAAAAAAAACAATGAATATGCAAAACCCTACAAGAATAATGCGGCAATTAAAATGATGGCAGAGATTCAGCAAAACAGATAAAATCGTTATCAAATCCATCCAAGTTACCTACTGAAATAGCTGAACAAACACCTGGAGCCGAAGTATTTACACCAGTGGCAGGCAAATATCTTTGGGAAGAGCACTCCAGGGTGCCACAACCAAAAAGACTGGTACATTTTTTTCTTCCTTGAAGTAGCTTTATCTTTGGGGAAATGATCAAGTGGACAGCAAACATCCTAAAGACTCCAGTCTCCAACATTTAATACATGAGCAGTCCAATTATTACTTGGTTTTATGAAGTAGAAATCCTAAACAAGAATCATACCTAGTTTTAGCTCTTAAAAGCAAGACCTCGTTCAGGTTGTTTTCAAGACAACATGAATAAAAAAAAAAGTCTGCTGAGAATCTTAGTTTTTGTCACTGGTCTCCTGTTTCAGACACTTCATTCTGGATGTATCTTTACAATCTATGGACTGATCCCCATGTTCTGCTTGGCCTATCACCACTGCAGGCTTCTCACCACTCTCTGAGTGCAGGAAGGGATGATGTCATCCTTCTCCCACTCCCAGCCCACAGCCAATGCAACCCACAACTCTGTTTTCCTGTTTTCATTCAAAACTGCTGTTTTGTGACCTGAGACATTTTATGCCCTTCAGAGCAGAGGAGCTCCAGAGCTTCGTTCCATTTTAATTGAAGCCCCAGTTCTGATTGGCTGCAGTGCCCAGCCTTGTCCCCCCCCCCCCTCTGCAGAATATGGGCTCCATGACTTTATCCCATCGAGCTGTTGGGTTTTTCTGTTCTTTTAACAATATTGAGATTAATACAACAATAGCCTGTTACATTAAGAACAATCATCCTTTATAGAAACTCCTGCTCCATTCAACTATAAATATTCCAGTAGGCACTCTTTTGCTTTCTGTCCAGGCTGGGTGGAGCATGAACTCTTTGCTTTCTCAATTTCCGCTTCCATTCCTATAAAGTTTCCCTTCCCCTTTTTTAAAAAAAACATCTTTAAGTTACAATGTAAGAACATTTCTGCTTTATGAAGCTGAACACACAGTTATCCCTTGCTATAAAGTTTCTATGGATCAACAGCAACCTATTGTTTTGTTTATTGTAGCATCAGAGCTAGGATAGTACCATAAGTGGGAGGGGGAAAAAACAGGTGGTTGTAGTGTCAAAGAAAGTAATAAGGGTGGGAGGTGAAGGCACCCCATTCTTTATGCAAATATCTGGGAAAAGTAAAGTAAGAAAAAGGCAAGCACTGGGAGACTTATCCACACAGGAGCCAGTCAACAAGGTTTGCCTTACCTTCATTGACTGGGAAGGAGATGAAGCAAAGAGATGACCAATCAGGTCTTATATTGGCCACAGTCTGGTCTAAGCACCAGACGGGACCCACCGTCAGCTCGCTGCAATCCCAGCTAGAATTTCTGAAGTTCTGAAAACATCCAGGAGCAGCCTGGGAGACAAGCTGCTGAAGGTGCAGTGCAGAATTGTCCTACAGCTATTTCTTACTCCTCAGGACTATTTGTCATGAGATGGGAGACATGGGCAGCCAATGGGCAGCTGGAACAATTGTTCACACACACACACACACCACCGTCCTTTTTAAGATTACTGATGGTTTTCTCATTGGGTAAAGTATAGGAAACCTGTGACTTCCCAGAAGTTGTTGAATTTCAGCTTTCAATGTGCTGCATAAAGGATTGCACAGACGGGGGTTGATGGGACTGCAGTCCACAAATTTCTGAAGAGCTCTACAATTCTCATGTCTAGATTAAGCACTATGCCCTAGGCCAATTAGGCTCTTCTGATTTTTTTTGAGAACATTGCCAACCCCGCCATCATCACCATTCACAGACAAACAGGTCTTCCACCTGTGAAATGAATTAACCTACAGTTACCCACCCTGCTCCAATCCATGGCTTCTGTTGTAATACCATGGGATACATTGCATGCCTAGATCCCAGCTTCATTTGAGCCTCTTCTTTAATTGACCTTGTTGTTGCTGTTAGATTAGCTCATTCTGACAGTTCACCAACAACCACTTAAAGTGGAGCAGCCCTCTGCTAGATGAGACAAATAACAACAGCACTATGGCACATTTGTGCCTAAACTCCTGAAAACTATAGCTTAAACATTACTTAAGTTAGCCCTATTGATTGGTTGGTTGTTAGTTGTAAGTTTAGTGACTGAAGTGTATGCTTTTTTTTTTTACCTCAGGCATGTGGTATATTATGACTTTATTTTGTTTACACTGTATTTTGTTTCTGGTTTTAATTTTCCCAGAGTCACTATGGTGAGAGGGAAGCTATATAAATTAATAAATACATTTCCTAGGACAAAGAAAATCTGAAACCGGTTGGGAAACGCTAACTCAGTGCATCAGATGAGCATTGTTTGGGGTTCTCACTCCTGCTTGTTGCCATCTATATAATGTCTCATCCTGTATTTGGTGCAATCAAAAAAAAAAGTGCCATTTGAAAGCAGCCAGAAAATAAACTCCAAACCCCGTCAACTAATTTTAGGAAAAAGGAGAGGGAGAACAGCAGAGGAAGGAGGACCTGAGAAAAGCCTCTAAAGAAGACAAGTGGCTGTTCTCTTGAAGCAGACTGATGTGCAGACCTGATCCAAATTACCTATCCTTATTACCTCAGTAAAAGAGGAGAAAATAAGAATCCGCAATCAGTTAGAGAAAGAGAGAAGAGAGGAAAGGAGGTAGGTTTGTATCTGTAATAACTCCAGCTGTGAGCTTATAACAATATATAACAATGAAGTTTAATAACAACAGCTTGCCTTCACCCTGCTGAATCCTTCCCAAATTCCAAACAGGCTGCTGAAAGCTACCCTATGCCACCTACCTCCTCTATCTGTCCACACTTCAGATGAGTCTCAAACAAATTACTTTCTGCTACCTGCATTCATCTTATAGGGATTATATCAGGAAAAAAAAAAGAGGGGTAACCACATGCAGTTTTGAAGCCACCACCCACCCACCCCTTTCCTTCTAGTTGCACACACCCAGGAAGTAGTAGAGGAGAACTTTACCTAAAAGGCCTCAAGGTGACGAGACATCTTCTGACCATTATTTTTCCATCCGAATTCACTGTGATCATGGTTCAAACTTTTCTTTTTTTAAAAAAAAAAAGCAAAATCAAACCAAAAGGAAGGGAAGCAGAGGCTCAGGAAGTCCAATCCCAGTTCTTAGGAGGAGCTCATGGTCAGAGAAAGCTGAAGGTTGTCCAGCAAAAAGCTAGAAAAATCGACCCAAGAAGTCCATACGCACAAAGGGTACAGGATCAGGATCAGTTTCCCTGCTAGGAGCGCTGCCTTCTTGGCTGCTTGCCTCTTAACGAGTGGTTGCTTCCAAAGACATAGGTCTGCATGCACAAGAGTGGAGGCTGGATGATGGGGTGTCTCCTCCAGGGTTCCAGTCACATTTTGGAAACAGGCTGTAACAAGAAGCACAACATCTTCCCTTTCCTCCAAGTATTAAATCCACTGCCCAGGTGAGCAGCCCCCAGACTTAGACCCCTTTCTGTTCATGGGATCTCTCATCACAGCCAGACTCTCTCTGCTTACACCTGAGCCAAAAATCCTCCAGCAAAGGCTTGCCTCCTCCAAGCTGCCTTCAGCACTTCCAGAAAGCTGCCATTCCCTAGGATTGCTGCCTATTTGAGTGGTGTCTCCCAGTCAGAGCTAAAGCTGTCATGAAAAGGACTGGCTCCATCCCTGCCTGACAGACAGCTACCTTGTCTCATCCTGGCCATCCAAAACAGGCAGTTTTAGTCTTGCAAAGAGGCTGCACTGTCTCCATCTGTGAAAGATGCACTGCTCCAAACCAGGATGGGAAGACCGTTCAGCCGGAATTTGTGAGTTGGGTACCATCTAGTGGCGGCTGCAGGGAGATTCTCTAACATTTTTGTTCTGCAAATAAAAGATCTTGTTAAGTTCCAGGGACAACATACCTGAAAAGTGCAATGTGATACATCTTTTGGGCAGCATGGAATGGGGCTGTGTACCACCTCCTGTCATTTGTAGGAGAGGCCTTGCCAATCAATAACGCCAACTGCATTCATGTCATCATTACTGATCCCAACATATGCTTGAGGAAAGGACCAAGGTGTGGCCCATCAAGTCACTACCAGCCCTAGTCAACTGGGGGATTGGACAGAAAAAGGATTTGGGAAGAAAATCTGGTTCAAAATGTTCTGGTTAGATTTCTTGAGGATCACTATTTGAAAAAGCATATTACACTGGGCTTTGCAGCTCTTTTTAGTTCACTGTTTTCAAGGAAATTCAGGGAACAACTGGGAATATCTCTCTGATCTGTGCTAACAGAATTCAAGCATCTTTAATATACAAATGGATCAGACCAGGGGTGAGGAACCTTGGCTCTTTTATGATTTGTGGACTTCAACTCCCAGAATTCCTGAGTCAGCCATGCTGGCTCAGGAATTCTGGGAGTTGAAGTCCACAAGTCATAAAAGAGCCAAGGTTCCCCACCCCTGGATTAGACCATCTGTTCAAAAACTGGGGGCAACTGAGTTTTGGGGACAAAGTTCCCATTTTACCCCATTTTTCCTGCTCCAAGCCATGATACCTTAAAAGGTGCTAACAATGTTCTCAGGATCTGTTCTCTCCCTGTTTGATTTTTCTCTTTGTCTGATTTATCCACTGCCTGAATCCTCACAGACTATTATTTTATGGATAACAATATATCAAAATAGTAATCATCAATGTTGCATTAATCATGAATGAATTAATGAATTATTTAAATGAGTACAGTGGATCAAAGTGGCAGGTGCTCACTAGCCTCTGAAAGCCTTCCAGAAAAGCCAAGTCTTTGCTCTCTTCCAGATGGCTATGAAAGGGGAAGCCATTTTTATTTGGGAGACAGGCTGTTACAAAGGGGAGGAGCCTGCAAGGACATAGCCCATCATTTGATCCTTCCTTGCCTCGCCTAATGAAAGGTTTGGATCCTTAGTAAACACCAGCTGACTATTTGGATTAGCTACACAGGCTCTATCTGGGAAAGGGAGCCTCTTAGATTCCTAGTAGTCCCATACTACAAAAGGCTTTAAAGATAGTGGATAAGATATTTGGGCTTTAGAGATAATGGCCAACAAATTTAACTGTACTTGCTAGACAACACTGGCAACTATTGCAATTCCTGCAGAGTGTCATTTTTGTACCATGACTGGCTAGCCATTACGTGGGCTACTGCAGCAGGATCCCCAGTCTGTGAGCCTGATCTTTCTGGGGAAAAACAGTCTTGGAGTCAATACACTTCTGAATTTACAACCACTCTGAGAGGTTGAGCCTTCAGCCAGTTTCTCTCTATCCAGACCTTGACAATCTCCAGGCCTAGATCAGAACCAAATCTCAGATTGGGTCTGGGGTGGAGATGTACAACTGGCTATCACCAGTATATTGGGGATGCCTCATCCCAAAGCAGTGGATGGCCTCTTCCCGCAGTTTTCTGTAAATGTTAAACATGATAGGGAAAAGAACCAAATCTTGGGGCATTCCAGAACATAATCTATATAAAGGCCTGATCATTCCTACCCCTGCCATCACCAATTCATTCTGCTTACTCAACTACTATAACATGTTTTCCCTACTCCCAGCCATCATAGGCAGCTAGCAGGATATTGTTATTGACAGTATCAAAAGCTCCTGGGAGGTCTAAAATGGCAAATACGACTGCAATCCTTCTATTCAAGTCCCTCCATAGATCACTCCTGAGAGTGGTCAATGCAGTTTCTAAATTATGCCCAGACCTAGGGAAATCCAGAATGCTATGGATCTAAACTCTCTCATTTAATGACCAGTTGCTTTACAGCTGTTAGAAGTTACAACAGACTATCAAAAAGGTACTTACGACCCATTTTTGAAGTTCCAATGGCCACACACACAGCCATGTGATCCCATTTTGGGTGCTTCATAAACCAGTTTGCATTTGTGACCATTTGCAGAATCCTGCAATCATGTAACTGCAGTTTTTGTCAGGTTTTGCTGGGATCCAGAATTTACTTCCAATTTCCATCAAAAACCTCTGTTGGATATAATGGATTTGTTTAATGATCACCATGTACACTTCACAAATGCAGTGTTTATTTAACCATCACAATGTTCACTTAACAACCATAGCAAAAAAACTAAAATCAATTTTCCCCAAAATTGGGAGTTGTCAATAGAACCCATCGCCAAGAGAAATTGATTAATTCTTATCCCCTTGACACAGGCCTCACTCCTGAGAAATGGGAAGAAAGTGTCTCTTGGGATGTTGCCTTTCTTTGAAGAAGCATTGACTGGGTCCATCTCTCTGTCTCCTGGCTGGCTGCTTTTACCAACCAGGTACAGCAGAATCCAATTCGTAGGTAGAAAAGCTCAGATTGTAGAGATCTCCATTTCCTCAAGTTCCACAAGTCCAAAAATCTCCTAGGTGATGTCAGAGAGCATCCCCTCAGTCATTTCAGAAGCTTCTGTCAAGCTGGCTCCCAATTCAAAGTGAACACAAGTGATTTTATCCATGAAATGCTCAGTCAGATAATCACAATTTATACTAATTGGTTCCTCTGGCCCCATCCTCCCTTAATAGAATCTGGGTCACTCTAAATAGTGTAGCAGCCGACATTGCACAGATGCATTCAGCACGGAGAAGTAATTCCACTTCAACACTTTTATTGCCATAGAATGAGCTCAGATGTGAGCTCCTATCCAGTCACATTCAATTCTTGTTTTCTCCAGCATCATTCCAGGCATAGGCATATCTTCACTTCTTCCATTTCCCAGAGCTCCTTGGAAAACCAATGATTAGTAGTTGAGGAGTGACTTGTTGGGACAATCCTGTGCATCTCCTGGTTGTTTCTGTGTTCCAGAGACTGACCAGGCACTCCACAGAGCTGCCCCCAATTTGCTGGGGAATGGGGAATCATCAAGCACTTAGGTGAACCATCCAAATTGTTCCTTCCTCCCTGCGATGGCTGGTGGTTCTGATTAATGCTAGCAACATTAACTCCAGACCTAATTTGTCTGTGACAACAGCCTGGTGGAGATGTCTCCCAGAACCAGATCATGTCTCATGTGCTCTGGCATAAAACCCAAATTTACAGTAGCCATCACTGTGTGTATGATAAGCCATGCTCCAAGCCTGCATCTGATCTGACTGTAAGTTAAAAGTGCTATGTGTAAGTTCTCAGTCAGTTTTGCCATGAGTTCAAGCAACTCAGGAAAATATTTCAAGATCTGGACTGCTTAAAAATATTCTATTTTACAGGAGATCTTACCAGTGGTGGGATTCAGATATGTGAATAACCGGTTCTCTGTGTAGATGCCGCTTCCGGAAATCCATTCTGGGCCTGGGCAACAAAAAATTAGCTACTGCTTTTGCCAAAGTGGTGCAAACCGGCTGAGTCCTACCACTGGATCTTACCCTGTTGTCCCTCTAGGACACCATAGAAGAAGTCAAATTAAGATGCACAAATGTGCCAGACTATCCAGTGATTTGAATTGTGTATATTACAAAAATCCTGAACATAGAGCAATATTAGGAGAACATTCAAGTGGAAATCAAATGTTTTAGATAGTTCTAGAGAAATATTTATATATTCCCAGTTCTCTATATGTTTCTAGGTATCTTAGCATTCATTCCATACTTTTCCATCAGAAATCTCACCAACTAAAGCTGGAAAAGAAGACATTTGAGGTTTGATACTGCATGAATTTTGATTTTATAAAGAACTTCTTTTTGGAAGATTTCACCTATTGAAATCAGGACTGGGGAACTAGTTTCAAATTGAAAATGTACCATTCACAGAATAGTATCAGCAAGCAAGAGTCTCATTGTCATTTTTATAGTAAATTTAGAGAGCAATTTTTGGGACCTGCGTGTTTTAATTTTTAACTATGACAAACTTGTCATAGGAAATTAATACCAAGTGGAAGATTAATTGTGAAAACTAGAGAATGAGCTTAGAGGACTGAGGAGAATACAGTGATCGCCAAATTATTTATAGACAGATATGCTTATAATAGGACCTTCCTAATTTTATGACTGCCAGAGGTATTGTGACTACAATTCCCTGAATTTACAGCAAGCGTGAAATTCCAG